CCAAGGAAGAAAGGAGGGGGGGGGGGGGGGGAATGAGGGAGAAGGAAATCTAAGGAAGCAACCATTAATGGGAGAAGGCACTGAACACATTTAAGATTAAAACTATGCAGCTTCAAGGCTCACCCGAGAATAAAAAAAGATGACAATAAGCGATGAAGATGGTGGAGAAAAGAACGATCACAACAGGGTTATGCCTCAAAACGTTTAGAAGCCTCTTCTACAGAAAGGAGAGGAAAAAGACAAGAAGGAAAGATTCAGATGCTGTACACTGATGACAGGATTTGAACCACAAGCTGTTGCAAATAAAAGGATGCAGCTACATTCTGTTTCATAATATTGATCAACCTGATAACTATGCACCACCACCTTTTAAATTAACAGATTTCTACCCAAAGTGCCTTTTTCCCAACCAGACCACATAATGGATTCCCTAAAATTTTACCTTTTTAATCTTTTATCATCTTATAGCATCATTTTATACTTTTTGGCAGTGAGGCACTGTCTCCTGGATTTAAGTGATTTGTTTTCCAGGAGTGAGTAATTCCCAATGGAAAACACATACATGTTGGGCATTCTAGTCCCCAAAGACAAACACTCCTATACAGACAGCTTCTATAAAAGAAGTCCTGCAGGCAATGTTTCTCTTCACAAAAATTCTGAGGTGGTTTCAAAATAAGCCATGTCAAATCCACTGGCTTGGAAAAAAAAAAATTAATCTATTTCAATAAAAGACTTAAAAGTGGAAAATTTCAAGGCTTCCACAGAATCAAAGCATGGCCACCAATACTGAACAAGCTCCAACTCCTACTGAGGGTGCCAGTAATTAGCAAACATATAAAACTATATGGCTGCTCTAAAACACCTCAATAGAGAGAATAGGTTTGACAAGAAAGAGCTCAGACATGACTTCCAAGTTATAGCCTGCACAGACAGGAGCAATGAAAAATGCAGCCAGACAAGCACTTGGAAACCATATTCTTGGTAACATCTGAACCTAACGCACTGCTGAAGGGAACAAAAGGCAGCGAGTACTCTCCATCAGGTTGTTTGCTTGCACCAGGTAGAAGTCTAGGGACCTTGCCGCATTAAGATTGTAGAGAGCAGTTTCCTGCCATTGGTATGCAAGCATTTAATAACAAGTTCAGTGGAGTGAAGTACAGTATTTAGGACACGTGGCAATAACTATAATTCACAGAACTTAATGTTTGCCCCAAGTCATAAAAATCAAATCAGTGAATCTGAAGAACAATTTTCCTTACAGCACATGTAACCCGACATGTATCTAATAGAAACAAACCCATTTACTGACTGTAGACAAACTGGCCAAATTTGTGGCAGTCAAAACCAATCAAATAAGCACTCTAATACCCATTGGGACATTACACAGCTTAACATTACCTTTTCAAACAAGTCTTTCCACTAAGCTGCTCTCAAGACTCAGACATACCTGAGACATCAGCATAAACGGCCATTTCTGAGTCACTGCTCTAACCAGAGTCATGGCAATAGGGACAGAGGTCGATCAAATGACTCTAGGCAGGGAAACTATTAGCCCCAGTAGAAACATTTACACAGATACATCCCTGTTTGGCTTTCTCGGGTGACAGATTCTCCTGTCCTCATTAAGGCAGCATGCCCATTCTGAAATGCGCTCAGCCGCTGGACATACACAGTACAACCTTGTCTTTCCTTCCCACTAGAAAGATACACAGCCTGATGGTGATCAATGAACTTCAGCACACCATTTGAAAAACCCTGGAAGTCTTTCATTTCGGGGATATGTTATTTCTAGAACACACCTTGTGTGAATGGCCAATACTCCATTTACAGAAATGTATACCTTTAGTATCTACAGGCTTCTAGCTTTGTTGCCACATAGACTGATGCTGTAAAAAACTCAATGTCATGGCAGCAAGCACAAATTTAGCAGAATATTGTCACTATATTGTTACCAGACAAGAAGAACTCAGATGAAGCTATCAACCTGGCATAACTTGACCAAAGAGGTCCATTCAACGCATTTACCTCAAAGACAGACACTGCCAATGAAAGCATTAAAGCCTG